GAGGTGTACTGGTAGTTCGGAGTAGGAATCCTAGTCCGAACTACCTAGTTCGAGCCCCGTGTAGCCGCGCTGCACGGGGTTCGAACCAGCGGGGTTTTAAAAATGACGGCTCCCCGCTTATGCAAATGAAGCCCGGGAAATTCAAATCCCGGGCTTCATTTGCAAGTGCGGTATACCTTCATAACCCCGCTATTTCGAACTAGGAGGATAGTGTAGACATACCTTGGGTGAGGCGCACTAAGCAGCTGCAAGGCTGTGCTGCTACAACTTAAAGAGAACCTTGCCCAGCACCAAGAGCAGAAGCCCTTGAGCGTCGGCTTTGGCCTCAGCTAATCTAAGTGAGCCCTGGCGACCCCATTAAAATGAAGTCTGGCCCCACAGTGTGAGAACTGCTGATCTGTGGCATGAGTGCTCCATCGCCTTTTTCAGTATTCTTTTTCACCAAGCCTTGGATTTAAAATTGGGCCGGTTGGATACTATCTGTCCTTCAGCAGAGAATTTCCTCGACAAATATTTTTGGGTAGAATTCTCTCAGCTCTGCAGTTGGTGAAAAACTATGTTCATTGAATTGTTTTTTGATAGGCAAAGGTCTAATAAACCAGTCAGCAAATAGGTTTTTAATGTGTTCAACCAGCTCCAGTTCAAATAATGCTCAGAGGACTTACACTATCATATTACTAACATTTCTTCAGCTCCCAGGCCCTCCTTCTCTTCTCTTTCTCTGTCTAATCTGATGTATCCATCAGGGATTTTCATAGGGTGGTGTCTGGACTGGTGTAGCAACACTGGGTGCTTAATTTGTAATGGAAGAAATCCAGAGCTCAAACAATTTTTTTTTACTTTAATAACCGACATGGAAGCTCAGAGGTGCCAATGGAACACTAGCAGATGCTGGACACCTGTGACCTCTGGAGCATAGTACATGAGCCTCTACCACTTGAGCTAAAAGCCAGCTGCCTTGCAGCTAAGGCTGTAGAGCAGACTCATGATTCTCTCTGTAAGTGGTCTCAGTGCCACTAGCCAGGATAATGCCACACCCAGCAGGTGTGTGGGTTACACCAGGGCTAGCAACTTCCAAGCCTACAGATGCTAGGAGTCAGCCTGGGAACAAATTAAGCACTGATGACGTGCTGGAGTTGATAAATCAGTGTGCAAGGACTCAGGAGATGGGGTTTCTAATCCTGACTCTACTATGAGGCCTTAAGCGTGCCTCCACCTTTCATCTGCCTTCTCTGCTTAGCCCTCAATCCTATAAAGGTTTGTGCTTAAATGTATAGTGTTACTGGTCCATGCATTAAATTAACCATGTGTTTAAGTCTTTGCAGAGTCCTACCTTTAGACTGTAAATTCTTCTGAGCAGATGTAACTGCCACCCGGGAACCTGGAAAGCTTAGTACAGGAACCTCTACATCTGGAGCTATAAAGCCAGCTGGCTCTCACCTTAGGCTATAGAGCTTACTTGTTTTTATCTTTCGCTGTAAGTGGTCAAATTGCCACTATATGAGACAGTGAACCACATTAGCTGTGTGGGTTACACAGACACTGTCCTCTATACAGCGCCTGACACAATGGGGCCCTGATCTTATCTGAAACCTTCTAGCTGGTGCTGTAATACAAATAATGATTAATACCAAATATTGATTGTCACAGCCATGCCCCCAGGAAAAATTAAACACGGCAATTATGCTCTTTTTTTCTTCTACCTCTTCTTCTTTTTAACCATTTATATTTTTGTTTTGTTTTATTGGATTCAGGAGCCAATCAGCGAACAGAACTTTGACGCTTATGTTAATACCCTTACCGACATGTACACCAATCAGGAGTGTTATCAGAACCCTGAGAACAGGGATCTGCTAGAAAGCATTAAACAGGCTGTCAAGGGAATTCAAGTCTAGTGCCGTGGATAACACAAATAAACTGTAAGAAGATGGAACCTTCACTCCAAGTATTCAGGTTTACAAGTTATACAACTTGTCTAATGAATGAAAAAAAGGACCAAAAGTTAACCAAGAGGCCATTTACAAGAAGCAGAACTGAACTGAACTCCATGTTTTCATTTACTTAACTTGGACCTTCTTGCAAAGAGTGGGATTTTTCTACCTGTACCAAGTGGTAGATGAGGATGGACAATGAGACCCTACAATAGGTTGCAGGGCTTGGTTGCTGATGGAGATAAGGCGTCTTTATGAGTTGCCAGGTTTTACTGATGAGAAAGAAGGCATTATAGCAGAATTAATCCAAGGGTTAGTACATTACAAGAACAGGATTTTGTCTGGTTGAAACGGGCGTAAACCCTCATGCTGTCTATGGCCATGTGTCCAGATCACCTACTCACATATGAATTATGTTATATGTTACTGTAAATGAGAAGCTGGAGCTGCAGGCTACCTGTAAATCTAAACCTCTGCTGGGCCTCCCACCCCCAAGGTATTGAAATATCCACTGGGTGCGGGAACTCTTAAGTATTATAAAGTAGCTTATTTTTATTTTCTGAAGAGCGATTCTGGATCTCCAGTGGAAAGCGCAATGGAAAAAAGGTTCTCAGGGAAGCTTTTGAAGTTTGCAACTACAGTATTCCTTTGTCTGTCTTAAATATGAGAATAGCTATTATGAATAGACGAATTCCAGAGATTTCATACGGAAGAAATTCTAAATGTGTCATGGTCCAGTATATATGATTTTTTTTGGAAGTCTATTGGTGGATGGTTCAGGTTCTTTTCAATATTATGGTTGTTGTTCCAGTAGCACGGCGCTGCCAGTACAGAGATCATGCACCAATGCCAGAGAAATGTTTCAAGTGATTATCAGCAAAAATGAAAGATTCAAATTGATGGCCAGCAAAGTGCTTATCTACCATGGACTGTGGCAGATTCCTTACAGATGTACATATGGCGATGGGGTTTTTTTTGTTGTTGTTGTTGGTTTGTTTGGTTTTGGTTTCTATATTTTTGTGCAAGGTTACAGAGCCAACGTCATTCTGCAAAAAGAGCATTTTGGGTGTGGATCTTCCAAAGAACCCTTTGGGAAGCAGTTTGATACGTGCAGCTGACTGTAGAGATGGGAATGGCTTTGCACCTTATTGGGAATGGCTTTGCACCTCATTCATCTCATTGCATCGCATGGCAGAGCACAGTGATTGAAGGTGGTTTTCACACTGTAAGAAAGAAGTTGGCAGAGAGAGAGAGAGAAATATTGGCCTGTCCCAGCCAATGCTGAAGGCTTATTTAATAAACTCATCTCACATGCACATTAACTATGATTGAGAATTCTTTATCGGCTTGGCGATGACACTTTGCAGGAGAGAAGCCCCTAGCACCCCAGTACTTGTCACATAAACCCCCCACTTTCAATATCATTTCCAGTGAGGTGAGGGGTGGCAAGGAATTTGCTCACCAATAATAAAGTGAAGGATATTGTGTCGTTATGAGCCTAATCCTGCAGACATTTAGGGGATAATGAAAAGTCCAAGGGAAATAATGGAAAGAATCCAGTGGACATTGGATCAGATTCTAAAGTATGTGAATAGGTAGGTAGCCCGACTGAAGTCCATTGGGCACCTCCTGTGAATAAATGTAATCACATGCTTAAGCGTTTGCAGGATCCCAGGAATTCACTTATGTTAGGACCCATTCCAAGTGCAAAAATAAAATGGAAAAAAAATGTAATTTGCTGTGTTAAAAACACAATTCTTAACATGTAAATAGAGTCCAACTTGCTTGTGACTACAATTCAGTTAGTATTTAAAAGTAGAGAAATTGCACTTCCTGGAAGAGAGAGCGAGCGAGGGAAAAGTAGCTAGTTTAATTATCCTGTAAATTATTTAATTTTGGCAAGATGTATGTTATTTATATTCACAACACCTTATGTTAACTTTTTGCTATTTATTTAACCTTTCTTATTTATTAATTTTATACTTATTTTAAACTGGACACCACACCATGGAAAAGAAAAGAAAAGCAAAAAATAAAAAAGTAAAACTTTTTTGACCTTAAATAAAAGATATTCCAAAAAAAAAGAAACAAAGGAAAGTAAAAACCCACCTATCTACAATTCCTACTTGTAATTTTGATGCAACCAAGTTATTTTTTATATATTTTGTTATTTATTCTTTTAACAATGGGAATTTTTTAAAGATATTTTATAACTGAGGCATTTTGATAATTTTTGGTTTGTTTTTTTGACGGGGTAGGGACAATGGGAGGGGAAGAGAGACTTTTAGGGATTTTGTTTTCATTCGTATTGTTTCAGGCACTGATTAATGGTAAATGAAAAGTCTGTATTTATTATTTATTTAATATTTAAGTCAAAATGAACTGTGCTCTTGTTGTATATTTATTTTGTCATGTTTCTGTGTTGGTTATGTGATGACTGAGTAATTGTTTATGTGAAGGAATACTGTTAATATTTAAATAATAAAGAGTCACATTGAAAGTTATAGCAGGCTACATGTTATTCTGTGAAAAATGAATACTGTGATCCTCTTTCCTCAGGAAATGTATGCTGCAGACAGCATTTCATTATGTATTCGCAGGGTTCTTTCATAATAAAAACCCAGTTCTGTATGTGACTTCAGTTCCCATGGTCTTTCTTAAAGATATTGTTAAAATCCCCAGTATTTTCTAAGAGCTTTGTTCCAATGCATGGGTAACCTGCTGAGCTGTGTTTTGAATATATTTCTGTGTATTGTATACAATTCTGAAACACCCATTACAGAATGGATGTGGATGTATTGGATAAAATCCAGTGGAGGGCAACAAAAATGATTAGGGGGCTGGAGCACATGACTTATGAGAAGAGGCTGAGGGATTTGGGCTTATTTAGTCTACAGAAGAGAAGAGTTGGCAGGGGGGTGGGAAGGAGAGATTTGATAGCAGCCTTTAACTACCTGAAGGGAGGTTCCAAAGAGGATGGAGAGAGGCTGTTCTCAGTGGTGACAGAATGTGGAGCAGTGGTCTCAAGTTACAGTGGGGGAGGTCTAGGTTGGATATTAGGAAAAACTATTTCCCTAGGAGGGTGAGGAAGCACTGGGATGGGTTCCCTAGGGAGGGGGTGGAATCGCCATCTCTAGAGGTTTTTAAGTCCTGACTTGATAAGGCCCTAGCTGGGACAATTTAGTTGGGATTGGTCCTGCTTTTAACAGAGGGTTGGACTCAATGACTTCCTGAGGTCTCTTCCAACCCAATGATTCTAAGATGCAGATAGGGTTTTCACAGTAGGGCGAGGGCTCAGATTTTCAAAGGAATGTGGGCATTGCTCCTAAATCAGTTCGGCCCCTAAATTTGTTAGGCATTACAACGCTATGTGCAGCAATGCCTCAGTACCGTCAGAAATCTGGGCCTAGGCTCCTAACCATAAATGCACTCAATCCTGGTTTCACGCCGTGGTTATTAAAGTTTCTGCTCATTGCGAAGGAGACACGTTAGCTCTGTGATTTAGTCAATGGATGCAGTGCAATGGGCAAAAGTAAAGCCCTCCCAGCTGTGTGCCTCAGCAAGATGTCAACAGGGAGGCAGGCAGTGCATCAGAAAGGGTCACTCGAGATGTCCTCAGGTAGTACAGAGGGGAGAGCAGTGTGCAAGCCAAGCAAAGATGCATTATTTTTTTGCATTGTTCCAGATCTCTTTTAGAAAGGGCACTGCAATTTTATAGGTTTTTGGTTTGCAAGAAGTTCATTATCCGCACACACTGGGAAGGGATATGCAAGATTCATATGGCACAATACAGTGGTCTAGCATGAGGATTTCTTTTCTGTCTTGTTTTCCTCCCCAATTCTTGGGGGGGAAAACCCCAACACATTTATCACTTTCCTCAAAGATGCAGAGTGAAAATGCTAAGGTAGGGGGAGTTAAAATTTTCTTTAACTCCTGGATTAGAAGAGAAGGTCATGAAGTTTCTGTTCCCCAGCTGGACAAGTGGAATGTTAGACCCAAGCTTTGGGAGAAAATATTCAGAGCTGCGAAGCTGGGATTCATTTCCCAGTGTTGGATCAGAACTTTTTTCAGCCATCCTCATTCCCACAAGGAAACTCAGGGCATGCGCCAGGGCTCACTAAAAACAATGGCCTCTCGGGTACCACTGGAAAATGTCCTCAAGACGGTTCACACCAAAAGAACCCATCATGGGTGTCCAGCTCAGCAGGATGCAGACAACGGACACTGGGACAAATCCGGTCAGTTCACACATGTGAGTAACTTTGAAGTCAATGAGCTACTCACATGAGTAATGTTCCTTACGTGCATGGGAGTTTGCCTGATTGGTCCCTCACCTCTACATGTATTTTAATTTTATAGGAGGAAGGAAAATGCACAAATTACTCTGTAGATTCCAGTCTTACTAAAGCAGAAGTCATTCCAGAATCATAGAAACTTAGAACTGGAAGGAACCTCGAGAGGCCATCAAGTCCAGTTCCCTGCCCTCATGGCAGGACTAAGCACCATTTAGACCATCCCTGACAGGTGTTTGTCTAACTTGCTCTTTTAAATCTCCAGTGATGGAGATTCTACAACCTCCCTAGGCAATTTATTCCTACCACCCTGACAGTAAGGAAGTTTTTCCTAGTGTCCAACCTAAGCCTCCCTTGCTACAGTTTAAGCCCATTGCTTCTTGTCCTACCCTCAGAGATTAAGCAGAACATTTTTTCTCCCTCCTCCTTGGAACAACTTGCAAGAATGTTGCATAAATATTCCTGTGTTTCAGGAGGGGAGCTGAGACAGTGAGGCTATGTCTACACTGGCAGGTTCTTGCGCAAGAACGACTGTTCTCATAGAGCGTCTACACTACCCACCCTCTCTTGCACAAGAAGATTTACAGTATGGCATTGGAAGAGAGGGCTTCTTGCACAAGAGCTCTCTTGGACAAGAAGATTTACAGTATGGCATTGGAAGAGAGGGCTTCTTGCACAAGAGCTATGCTCGTTTCTAACAGGTGTGAGCCCTCTTGCACAAGAACTTTTGTGCAAGAGGGCAGTGTGGACGCACGGCAGGGACTTCTTGCACAAGAAAGCCCTATGGCTAAAATGGCCCTCAGAGCTTTTTTGTGCAAGAGAGCGTAGACACTGCCATGAATGCGCTTGCACAAAAGCACATGGCAGTGTGGACGTGTTCTTGTGCAAGAGTTCTTGCACAAGAACCTTTGCACCAGATGTCCTTGTACAAGAACCTGCCAGTGTAGACATTGCCTGAGAGGTTCATGTTCCAACTCTGACCTGTTTTCTTCCCTGACCATGTGTGACGGGGCAGGGCTACCCCGCACTGAACTCCAGAGAGTTTCCCTAGCCCAATTGGCTGAGCGGACCCCACCCCCACGGCCCTGCTCAAAGGAGAGGCCAGGGATAAAAGCCCAGAGATCCAGCCACTCAGGGGGAGGTGCCAGAGGAGAAGGAGCTCTTCAGCAGTTGCTCCAGCCGGGACTGGCCTGTGGAACTGTACGAGGGGGCGGTTACCCAGGGGAGATTCAGATGCTACTCAGCTGATTAGCAGAGTACTCACAGCCAGCAGCAGCATGTGTTTCTACTGGTGGTACACATTTGGACATGCCTTGGTGCACAAAACAAAATTTATTCTGCACATGGGTAGAAAAAATGAGAGGGAACGCTGCCTCAGGGTGCTTAGGGGAACCAAGCTAGCTTTTCTGTAAAAGGAAGCCACTTAACTCCAGTGTCAACAGGGGCTTGAAGGAAAAGGGACCTCGGTGGGAAAAACAACTATTACAGTACTGTTGTTTGAAGTTACTACTGCTCGAACTGAGGGAAGGCCCACGAAGAGGCATCTGCATCTGGGGCGAACTGAAAAGACTTCAGCAACGCCAGAGCTTGGAGAAGGGCTAACGGTTTTCTTTGGACTTGGTGTTTCTGCCCTGAGAAGCCTTTTGTTAGGTTTGACTAGAAGACTAACTCCCACATCACTCCACCAACCTGGGAAGATCAGTGTGACCAGTCCTCATGATGGGCAGAGGTAAGCTGTTCCTACAGCCAGTGGCGTAGCCAGATGAGCCCACTTGGGTGGGTTCTGACTTTGGGACGGGGGGCAGGGAGAGCAGGATGGGTGATGAGGTCACCTCCCCCCCCCCCAACTGGGGGGCGTAGAACATCCAGACACGAAGGTCAGAGGATGCACCTGGAGATTGGGGTCTGCATCCCTGGGTTCCTGAGGTCGGCTCGGCCCTTCGGCCTGCAAGTGGGGTTCCAGTGAGGGTCCTAGCGGGGTGAGACAAGCACTGGGTCATGAGGAGAGCTGGGGGGTGCAGCGGGGGCAGGCCTGGATGTCAAGAGGGAGGGCCACCACCCACTCAGGCCCACCCCCATCTCCGCCTCTGCCTCCAGCCTTTGAATCTGTGTCTTTTGTGTGATTATCCACAGTCAGCCCCAGAGGTTTCTCTCTCTAACACAAAGCAGGTCCTGGGAACCAAGATAAATGTCTCATTGGATTTCTCAACAAACCTTGCAAGGAGGTTGCTGTGTCTTTCTGGGGTTCCTTTTAAGATGTTGTAGATGTTTGTCTTCGCTTTGAAAAGCTCCCCTATTTGCATGCAGTTAGCCGGTGTCATAGTCCTAGATGAAACTCATGGAATAAGTTGAGTTTTTCCCTGGTAAAATGTATCTGACACTTGAACATGGTTATTGACATAATGAAAGAGAAGCGACTGTAGCACTTGGTACTGGAGTCTTCCACGGAAGAATTGTACATGTGTATCTCTTTTAAAAGTAACTAACAGGTTGATGCGTTCTAGTCCGGCACGCGCTGAGCGGGCAACATCCGTGGTCTGGCATGATTTCAGTGAGCCAGATGTCCACTTATCCTAGGTGTGGCCAAGTTTCCTGTGGTCCCATAAAGTTTGTTTACAGCCACTAGTCCTGGCTCTCAGTGTTCTGTGCTTAAAAATCTCAGGTTATTATTCTCATTATTATTAATCTCATTATTCTCTGGTTTTATTCTCTGGTTACTGCAGGACTCTCAAAAGAATGAGAGATGGAGTGGGAGCTTCTCATGTTTCATTTGAGGAGAGGAGGATGTCTGAACCTTTATCTGAGAGATTATTCCCGTAAGTGTCTGCTGGAAGTTTGAATTAAACAGGCATTAACTAAAATCCAAACCAAAATGATAACAGTTTGAAGAACGTCTTTTCCTCTCAGCTTTCTGTCTTTTGCCATAATCCCCAGATGACCAGAGAGGACTCTAGCAAAAACTGGGTAGACAGCCTCTGATATTTCTAAAGCAGAAACAAGCAGAAAGAAAATCAGAATTTTTATACAGGATGATCAAATATAAATGGGGACATACACTTCTCTGTCTGCAGATTGCACTTGGGGGGGGGGGGAAGGAAAACCATCATATACTTTAAAAAAAAACCACACTTTCAAAGAGTCTCAAATCATCCTCTGTGTTGGATTTTTTGGAGAGGGAGAGAGAGGTAGATTCTGCCCATATTTTTAG